AGGTCAGAAATGGTGAAAATGTGCAATTTGATGCATTTTCGGCCTTAAAATGGCCGCTATTCGGCAATCGTTAATCGGATCATGAAAAAAATGCATGTGAATATGTCCCATATAATGTGTGATGTATGAGTGAAGTTTGAACTTAATCGGTCCATGCATGTTCGAGATACAGGTGATCACGGACGGACGGACGGACGCACACAGGGCAAACCATAAATCCCCGTTTTCGGACTACGTCCGAACGTGGACTAATAAAAGGTTTATTTGACCCCTAGACTAGACTGAAATAAATGTTGATTTTACATTTTGAGCAATGGCTCTTTATTGATAGCAGAAAGAAATGTTTAAATGTATAGGTATAACATAAGGATTGTTGATTTGACTTGACAGATATAGTTTGGTGCAGAACAGTAATCAATGAATCAGAGCTGATCGGATCATAGAATAAAAATGAAACCTGTATGAAATGAACACTAATGCGAAAAAGATTTAAATCCTACAAGGATGTTCAGTAGAAGTTATTCAGGGGAAGGAGAAGAATGGGTAAAGTTTAGACACGTTTCTATTTGCATAGTTTATACCACTTACTTGATAGAGTCCGTGGTCCAGTAATACGATTTCTTGTTGACCTTGTAGTGTTTTATGAATAAAAATATTGCCAGGATGTGGGTCACAGTGTACATAGCCATGCACAAATATCATCTCACTGTACAACTTTCCTAAATCTTTTGATATCTAAAAAAAATACAGAGAACATAAACAGTCTTTTATAATTACATTCCGCATTCCTAATAGAAGCCATATCCATTCTTTTTGTACATTTAGAACCAAAAATTCATCATTTCTCGTATGTTTAGATGCTCTAATAAAAGCCGCATTTCCTCAGTTGCATTGTACCAGTTTAATATAAGCCGTAGCTTCTATTACAGATTTTACAGTATACTGTGGTATACTTTATTTTCGCTGGAATTAATTTTCGCTGAAAAGGCTTTTTGGGCGTTTTGTATGGAATATATTTTCACTGATTTTTGATGAGTTTAATGTGAAATATAGGAAATAAAGTATATTCGCTGGATTTTATTTTCACGGAATCATCACTTCAGTGAAAATAGCGAAAATAAATTCCAAGCGAAAATAAAGTATTCTACAGCATTGTATCACACAAAACTTAATCTAATTCACAATGACCACTGAGCATCTCAGATGCTGAATAATTTGTTCAGCTTTTTTTTATTTTTTATCTATAGTTGACAAATATATATTCATTACAGTAAGAAAAATACATCATGTAATTTAAATTGTGATGTTCATAATAGAGATGACATAGTCTCCATCAGATTTTCTGACACATAATAAAGTATAACTATAAAGTCACTTTATAAAAACCATTCAGGCAAAGTCAGAGTGCTGCAAGTTCCCAGTTATTGACTCAAATAATTAATTTACCAACCTTATCTACATCTATATCATGCTGCTTCATATATTCTTTATCATCAACTTTTCCGCCTTCACAGAACTCCATTGTAAGGACACGATTGGTAGTCAAACTCCAGTACACCTTAGGCACCTACCGGTAGATATTTTCATTACAATTTTGGCTGGTTCATTCCACTGTGACACTATTATTGAGTTTATATGTGCTTAGTTTCAATTTTAGTCTGTACTAAGATGTGGAAAAGGGTATGAGACAACATTTGATATAACATTTCTGAATGTCCATTGCACGCTTCTATATGCAGACAGGGTTCAGGGTTTCACACCTTTCACAAAAATGACTTGCTAATTTCGATGAACACAAGCAATAAACTATTTTAGCCTTGCCTATATATGTAATTTTGATTTGAGAAGTGACTATATTTTACATGTGTGAAACAATGCTTAGGCAAATTTAGCCATTACCGTTATTTGCACTTCCCGTCAAAAATATCAAACAATATTATATAAATTAATATATAACTGGATTTCTGCTGAGACAATTATAATAATAGTTTCAGCTATGGAGGATAATGTACAGTATTTTTCTCTCAGACAATTGCAAACTAGTTCAGTCACTGGTAACCAGTTTTAGCCTGTTACAAAACAGTTACATGAATTAATCTTGTATGGGAACATTTTTTTTCTAATTGAACAGATCATGTATTATGTTTTCCCCCATAAAGTCACAGGTATTAACTCTGAAATACACATACAGTAATA